CTATTGAAGATCTGGTCCATACCATTATCTTGAGATTCTTCTCCTTCCTGTATGCTTATGATTCGTAAGTTTGGTCTTTTTATGGTGCTACATAATTCTTGCTTATTCCATTCTTATGTTTTCCTAAATTTTTCATAATCTTTGCTTGAGTGGTCTAACTCGTCCACTCTTTAAAATGTTTTTGGTAGGGTCTTTATATCTCAGGCTAGCCTTGAACCCACAATGTAGCCTAGGATGGCCTTAAATTCTTTATCCTCCTAAATTTAGAGGATTTCAACCTCTCTGTTCCTGGGATATATGATAGTACCCTGGCTGATATGCTTCTTTTAAAAAAGAAAAACAAGAAAAAACACCCTCCAATGCACAAAGCCCTGAGTTCAATCTTAACACTATAAAAATTAACCAGTTAATGAATTGACTAGTTAGTTAATTTCTAGTTATTTAATTAAATTTACCCTTGTGGGTTCAGGTGGTGCAAGTCTATAACATCAGCTATTTGGGAGACTGAGGCAGGAGAATTATAAATTCAAGATTGGCCTATGCTAAAGAGTAAGTTCAAGGCCAGCACCACAGGGGAAAAAAATTATCCCATAGGTAAAGGCCACACAATCCGGGATTCAGAACCCCCATTTGTGTAGGAATGAAGGCATCCCATCATGGTGTGAGGGTTACCTGAGACAGTTCTGGATCATGACCCTGTTCTGGTACCCTCTGATGAGGCCTTCCTATCTCTGAGCAGCCCTTTCCTCCTCAGTGAAATGTTACTTGCCCTGCTGCTCCCCACAGTGAGGGCCCAGCTTTACCCCATCGTCTGGACATCTTCAACTCCTAACTGTGGGTGTCCTTCCCTATGTGTGGGAAAATAGGGGAAGAACAGGGAGTCTGCCAATCTAATATAGGCCAGCTCCAGGCAAGACCACAGCCCATGTCCTGGCACTGGCCCTCTCCTCTGGGCCCAGACATGTCTGCCCCCCTCTGAGGTCTGGTAACTGGAAACCTGGAGTGAGAAGGAGTCTTCCATTTTGGGGGCCACAGAATCACTCACTGCCAGGCTGCAGGGATGCAAGACAATGAAGTCCCCATTATCTGAGGAAAGCCTTCCCACCAGACCTCAGATTTCTGTCCCATAGGATAACCTGTTGTCCACCCACCCCAACACCTGACCGAGAATGAGCAAGTAGCAAATGTTTGCCCATGAACTGAACAAATATCAGGCCTTGGTGGCCGAATTCCCATTCTACAAAGTGTCAGGGTGGGAGGTGAGGGACAAGGGTATGCTCAGTGTGGACTGGTCCTGAGGCTTCTAAGTGCTACCTGCCCTCCACACATAGAAGGGCCACAGGAGATGGTCCTGATGCCATCATTCCACTCTAGAAAGACAGGGCCCTGAGGTACAGACCACACCAGCTCAAGTTCATAGCCCAAAGGGAGCCTCCCGCTGAAGCTACAGCCCCTTCACAGACACAGACAGAGCAGATCCCCATCCACAGTGCTTTATTACTGTAAACCTCAGGTACAAAAACAATACAGAAAGGCCAAAAAGGCCCCAGTTCCTCTCTAGACAGGCTCCTGTGAATAAGCAAGAGAACAGAGTAAGGGAGAAAGGGGAGCCACCGGCTGCACCTGGCTGGCTTAGGTCCATAACATAACCACACAGCACAACTGCTAACGATGCTGTCCTACAGAGGCCACTGCCTCACCTCTGCCAACCAGAACAAAATGAAGGCCTCAGCTCCTCCAAGGAACAAATGATACCTATCTTTCTTGTCTCTAATGTTTCCCATGCCTAGCACAGTGTCTGGCATATATTGACTGGTACTCAATAAGAGAAGAGCTGAGGATATAAGTGGGTCCTCTAATGAATGAGCTATAACTGCTGTCATTTATAAGGGGGAAAACTCAGGCTTAGGAAGATTAATTTGTCCAAGGTCACACATTAGTAAGCCACAGAGCCAGGACCTGAACTCAGGCAGTCTGCCTGGCTGCCTCCCATGTACTTAACATTCTCATTAGCAATAAGCACATAATCCTGTCAGTGACTCACATGCAAGGCACACCAAATATTGCCCATGTTCACAGACAACACACACATGAAATGCCGATTTACATATGTTGCATGTATGTATGCATGCACAAACATAACCTGAATATGCACATTCATACACATATATGCACATATAAATGAGTGTCCAGTCATTTGTTCAGCTGTCACCTACAGCAGGAATGGGTACACTTAGAGAAGGGAGTTCTCTGTGGTTTCCGCCAGCCAGTCTGGTATACACTGCAGTGTGACGTACCCTTCCCCAGGCTTAGGCTTCCCTCCAGGAAGTCAGATCCAGCCTAGGGAGGGAGTTACAGTTGACAAAGTCCCGGGGGAATGAGTTGGACATAAAGATGTTGTTCTTGGACACAGTGGTGATACCAGTGTTGTCACAGATGATGCGAGGCAAAGAGATCTGGGCTAGGGCCTGCCGTTGCTGGACACTGAACACACCAGGGTTCTCCCACCAAAACCTAAATGGAGGAACCACAGATATTATGCTTAAGGAGATCCAGGTTGGGAATATCCTGGGTTGAGAGGTCATCCCCTGGCCTGCGCTGCCCCCTGAATGCAAGAGGGTCACAGAAGATTCTGTCCTGAATCTCTAAGAGAGCTCTAAGCCCTGGGCAGTGCCTGCTTAGCACAGAGGACAGGAACAGAGCTTGCCTAGGTGGAGCCCCTATTCTAGTCCAATGACTTCAGGGCCCACCACAGGAATGCATCCACATCATTTATAATTTGTGCTCCCTGATTGCAGCATCTTTGTTTCTAATATCTCTAAAGGTGCATCACAGGCTAGGCAAGAACTAGACATAAAGATGCCAGGACCATGACAAAATGACAAGAAAGGAGACAGGGTAAAGCTAAATTGAGACTGTTCCATGGTGACTGATGCCTCCATAGTAGCAGAGGAGAAACCCAGAGGAAGTATTAAGAGTGGCATTTTTGGGGGCCAGTGAGATGGCTCAGTGGGTAAAGGCACTTGCCACCAAGGCTGACAACCTGAGTTCCATGGCCCAAACTCACATGTAGGAAAGAACCAATGCTTACAAGTTGTTCTGTGAGCTCCACACTACTCCCACCATGCCCTGTACACGTACACACATACACACGCGCACACATGCACACACATGTGCACCACCCTGCTGCCCCATGGCCTCACCGATCACCATCTCGTAGCTTCCTAAACTGGGTGCCAATGAGGCAGGCAAGGAGTTGGCCCACGCGTCCACCAGGGTTCAAGGGCTCGGCCACACCACCCATCCAGATGTCAATGTTGTTGGGTGTGCCATACTGTGCCATCAGCTTCCGTGCCAAGTCCAGGTTCTTTAGCACGGTTCCCAGTTCGCCCACGGTGCCAGGCTGTGGAAGTCCGCAGAATCGCCTCCAGGCATTGTATCCTGTATTGGGGCAGAAGACAGGTAGCTGTCAGTTGGTCCCTTGCCTGAAAAGTGGGGAAAGCACTGGGGAAAGCAGAGAAGATTCACATAGATGCCATTATCTCAAAAGCCCATCCCAACATACCAAGGCCATAGACAGAGGGGACCCCTGACTGCTTGACTCTGGCTAAATGGGACAGCTGATCCTCCTCAGACCCTTTCTTTCTGTCTTTCCCTTTCTCTCTCATCCTAAGGCAAACTCTAAATTGTCATAAATCCTGTCAGGTTCAAGAATGGAAACATTACATTATTCCCCAGAGCAACTCCAGGCATCTGTCTCTGACCTAGAAGGATGAAAGTGTGTCTCAGAGGCTCTATAACACAGGCCTGGGCTTTTGGATTAGGCTGATCCCCCTGGGTCCAAGCTCCAGATCTGTCACTGATTTGGCTATTACCACCTAGCCAGGCTCTGAACCCCTCTGAACCTTAGTTTCCTCATCAGCAAAATTAAAGTGGTAATCTCCTGCCCTTGAGTTCACAAATAAGTCAGAATGGATTGGTGATGGAGATGGGCTTTCAGATCATGGAATACTGTCTTTAGTTGCTTTGAAGGTTGCAAGGGTCCAACTTGCCAAGGAGCAGTAAGAGGCTGAAATTTGGTCACAGAGGCCTGGAAAAGGCAGAGCCTGACCTCGGATGCTTCCTGAGAACAAAATCTGTGGGGTGGGGAAAGCTCAGAGTAGCTGGGGGCACTGTAAAGGGGTGGCCTGAGTAGGAAGGAGAGCTATGGGCTACCTGGTCGACCAGGGCTGGGGCTGGCCCCTCACCTGGAAGACCATGGTCCCTGCTGCGCTGCATGTTCAGAGCAGGCAGATCCAGCCCGATCCTCATGACCTGCTCAAACAGTCGCTCTCGGATCTCATCCACCACGATTTGGTTCTGGCGATTCAGCTTGGCAGGGGTAGCCATGAGGCCCCGGAGGATGGGGTCGATTCCTCCTGGGGGTAAAAGGACAATGTTGGGTGGAAGGATCAGCTTGCTATCAGAGCTCAGAGTAGAGTCAGAGCTAGTCCAGGTAGAGTCCAGGGGACTACAGAAGAGGGCACATGCAATACTCAGTGCCAAGATGGCTCCAGTGAGTGGTCCTCATCAGATAGTCCCTAATCGTAGGAGCACATAGGTCTCAGGGAATAAGGCCATTCAGATCTACAAGGGTGGGGTGCTCCCAGTCACAGACTCCTGGATCATAGCATCAACACTTGAAAGGGAGCCATTTTCTATAAAAGCCACCCCCACCCTACTCAGTATTCTCAGAGTCAGGTGCAACGAAACTGCAAAGCCAGACTAGATCCCAAAGAAAGAAGGAAAGATCTCCCCAGCCTCCCTGCAGCCACACCCACATCATCTCAACTCTCTGCTGCTGGCTATTCTTTCCTGGCTTAGGGTCCACTCACCTTCCAGCACAACCCTCCAGCTGGCAAAAAAGACCTTGCTGAGTGGGACTCTGGGGTTGGGCCCTGTGGGTCGATACTGATTGTCCAGGCGGAACATGAAGGGTTGGATAAGGGTGTGGCCGTAGCGGAAGGCATTGGTGAAGACGTTGGAGATGCGTGGGTCCACTGAGTCATTGTAGCTGCGGTACATGGGTAAGTACTTCCTCATGGCCGCTGGCCCCAGCACCAGGGGCAAGTAGTCCCGGTAAGTGATGATCTAAAGAAAAGTCACTTGGAACTGCCTTTCTACTCACTCCTCCCTACAGTTTCTACCTGCTCCTGGCTTTTAGAGGATCCCTCCTACCTGGCTAGGATTGGGGATTACCATCCATGCTCTAAGGTCTGAACCTAACAGAGCAGCACTGAAGAGTGTAAACAGAGCTCGCTGTCACTGGCTAGGTAAACCTGGGTCATTTATCAACCTCTCTGGACCTCAAATGTAAATGAGGGATAATTACATTGCCTTCTGTCTCACAGGATTAAACAAAGCCTCTTCATTGTTGGTCGTTGTAATATCTCTCTTGCTCTTGAGGTATCAATGTCTTATTTCTCCTTGAGAGCCAGGGAAGCTGAAATGACTGAGGTTTCTCAACAGTGCCCAGCAAAAGCCTGGCCTACAGTAGGGCTTACTACAGGTTTATAGCAGGAAGACAGTTAGGAATGAGGCCTTCTCTGGTGTGAATGATGTCCCCCAGTGAACAGCAAAGCTGTGAGCCAATCTCACTCCAGATTCCAGGTGAGAATTGAAATGAATCCCACTTGTGGACTTAGTGCAAATCATAACCTCACTCTCATTACCTTCACCTCTTTCCCTTTCCAAAAGACAGCAGAGGTGTGTGTGTGTGTGTGTGTGTGTGTGTGTGTGTGTGATGTACATGAGTCTGTGAGTTCTTGAGGAGAATGGGGAGGTGAGACACTGGAATGTCAAAAGTTGGGAAACAGATCCAGGAATGCTGCCTTGGGGAGAAAAGAGGCTCAGGATGACAAGTGGTAGAGGAGCCAAGAGTGACAGTGACATGGGGGAAGAGAGAAATATTCACTGAACAGTCAGCATGCACCCTCTTGAGAACCCCCCAACACCATCCTGGGTCCCCAGAAAAGAAGAAGGTCTGGGAAGAGGAAGGGAAGGGAAGGGAAGTGAACTCTGTTAAGCATTTCATACCTGCCATGTGGCTTCTCCAATCCTCACAGCATCGTGGAAGAGGAAGCCAAGACTCAGGAGGGATAGCAACCCTGCCAAGGTCACATAGCTAGCTGCAGACCAGTTGGATGCCCAAGCACTCGGGACAGCCTACCTGGACCATGGCTCCCACAATCTTCCGGGCCTCCTGGTAAAGTGTCTCCCCATTCCAGCGGGGGTTCAGGCGCTTGAGCTGTGTAGCCAGACGGTTGTGCTCTCGAACAAAGAGGGTGTGCATGGAGGTGAGCTCAGGCATCTCACTGGAGCGTGTGTCGCCTTAGGGAAGCAAAGTCACTGTTATGTCGATGGCCTCCATCCCAGAAAATACCTCTCCATTGGAACCCCCTGCCCATCCAAGGCCTGCAATGGCTCCCACATGCCTTCTTTCCACGTACCTTCACACACCAAGCTCAGTTATGTGAGAATACCCTGATCTGCCATAAGAGCTCAGGGACACTGTGGGCCCTCACGCCATTGGGTCTGACTTGCCACCTTCCTGTAGCTCAGACCAGGAGCTCAAGATCTAGGTCCAAGGCTTGAGGTTTTCTGTCTTTTACACACACACACACACACACACACACACACACGTAAACACAAGATTTCAGCACCATGCCTGGTACAAAGTAGGACATCCATGAATCCATGAACACTATCTACTTAACTGATTGTCTTGATTTGAGGTAAACTGGGAAGTAGCATGCATGTTTCCTGTTAAAATTGGATACAATCTCAGACTCCTTCTCAATACAGGACCCAGAAAGCCTCTACTATTTGAAGGTAGTTGTCAGTACTATACTTACTATATCCCAACTGTGAGAACTGTGAGGCTGCTGGGAGTGTGGGAAAGGGACAGGATGTGCGGAGTCCACACACAAGACTATTCAAGGAAACTAAACATGATCCCTGATTCCTTTGGTCTTCCCCAAACCTTCTTCAGGAAAGGCTGGAGGGTGAAGGTCAGGGCCTTTTTAGCAAGACACTGAGCTCAGCATTGTCAACTCTAGTAAGGAAATTTTAAGAGGAAACAATATTTCAAAAGCAGCTTCTCCATCCCATGTACAGTCAGAGGTCATGACTAACCCAGAAGACAGTGGATCCCTCCCCAGGAAATCTACCCTTGCATTGACCTTGACTCTCCTGACAGAGATCCCAGGAAAGAACACCTAGGCCCTAGAAGGGAGAGGGTGGGTGAGAATGGACCTCAGTCCACTACTGGGTTTACATCAAAACACAGTAGTTTGGGTACATGGTGCACATGTATAATCCCAGTACTTGGAAGGTTAAAATAGGAAAATTGAGGAACATTCGAGGCTATCCTGGGCTATACAGCAAGCACCAGACCAGCTAAGGCTAGCTGTACGATGAGACCCTGCCTCCACCACACACACACACACACACACACACACACACACACACACACACACACACACACACACACATATACAGAGAGAGAGAGAGAGAGAGAGAGAGAGAATTTGGGAGAATGGCGAGAGAGAGAGAGAGAGAGAGAGAGAGAGAGAGAGAGAGAGAATTTGGGAGAATGACATCAATCCCTGCCCCAGTCCTATGCCCACACTGGTAGGTATCCACATTTGAAGCCCTTGTCCTCTGTCTTTACAGGTAGCCAAAGTGGGCAGGAGGTGATATTCTGTAACACTATCCACTAGAACCTTCTAGGATGATAAAGACCACCACTTCTGCACTGCCCAGTAGGGGAGCCATAACTCATGGGCTACTGAGCACTCAAAATGTGGCTTCTTCAGCCAAGAAACTTTTTATTTAATCTAATTTAAAATAATTTAAATAAAAATAACTACATATGGCTGCTGGTTCTAGACTGGACTATGTAATTCCAGAGGGTGAGGGCACCATTTTCTCTGTGTCCCTTTAGTTCCCTGTCCCTGAGGAGCAACTGGGTTCTCTTCCTTTCCAGAGTCCAAAGGGGAAAAGAAACAGAAAAGGATGGATAGAAGCTCTTAGCCAGTCCTGTGTCTCCATCTTAGATCGAAGGGGTAGAGTGTGTGTGTGTGTGTGTGTGTGTGTGTGTGTGTGCATGTTTCCCTTTCTGTTTCCATCCAACTGTCACCAAGGCAACCAGACTAATAAGTTGGTGAGACCAGTCTCTCTCATCACAATCCACAAGCCGCTTACACACAGGCACCCTCAAAGGAAACGTCAATGCCACTCCAGTCCAGGCCCCAGACTGACCTGCCAGGAAGCAAGGGATGTGCACAGAGCGGTTGGTGAGGAGACAAGGGTCATCGTGTAGGGTATCAAAGGGCATCAGGGCTCTGCCATTGTCTTGGAAGCGGGTGTTGACAGCCAGCAGCCCCAACTGGTTGGTCAGGTTGCGGAGCTTCATGGCCAGGGGGTCCTCACTGCCATACACCATGCTGGCATCCACAAAGGAAGTGAGTGCATTGATCTGGTTGCGAATGGTGATGTTGCTCCCGGTGCAGGCGGGGCAGGAGCGGAAGAAGGGGATGCAGTCCTGTTGGTTCTTGATTCGAGGGTCATTAGGAGGGATCTGCAGCAGAGAGAGGGGCTAGGCTGCTCATGAGGGTAGGGACAGTGGGCATGAGTGGATCTCCTCCACCTAAAGGGGCGAACCCCCTCTGGCCTCGACATCCCACAGAGAGGCCTTTCTAGGCCCAGTAGGATCACTGCCTGGGGTTCAGCCAGCACAGTGCCTCTGAAGTTTAGGGGTGACAAGAGTACACTGAACTGAAAATTGGGGAGTTCCCTTGGGGTTGGGCAAAGCCACTCCTCAGACCCCTTTTAACTAAATTGTCTCTGTCTCTCTTCTGCAGCCTGGTCTCTGGGTTGGGTTTCTGTGTTCTCACTAGGCCTCCTCCTTTCCTGTTTTTACATTTCCCTTGTCTGTTTCCTGTCTGTCACCCTGGCCCTGTCAGTCTTCTGTCTGTCCCTTTCTCTCTCTCCCTCTCAGACTCTCCCTTCTGTCTTTCCATTTCCTTCTCCACTTAGCAGGTGCTCCAGCCTTGCCCACTGGGCAACCCAAACACACACACACACACACACACACACACACACACACACACACCCTCCGTGTGAGGTAGAGTGAAGGAAGGCCAGGAGGAAACAGTCCTAGGCAGGAGGCTTCCACACGGGAAGTGTGAGTGACACAGGCCAGGTCCTCTTCCCAGAATACAAAGAGCCAGTCATCCACCACCCAGGACAATGTTACCATAACCTAATAGGGACATAACATTAACTCTCCAAGAGCAGTGTCCTGGTTGACAACTGGCTCTGCCAAAGGACACAGGCATTGACACTGGACTGAGGAGGCTGGACTAGCCTTACTCAGAAACTAGAAAGGAACCATGCACAGAAGGGACATGGCCACTCCTATGATCTATCGCCTCCTCTCCAGGACACAGGCCTTGGTGAATGGAAGGAGGCAGCACCTTCAGGGGGAAGCAGGGTGGTTGCTGTAGGCAGCTGATCTCACAGTTGAGGCCAGTGAGGAAAGAGGCCCGGGCAGCTGGCTCCGGGGTGAAGTCCAGATCGTGGTCCAGGAACTGGCCCCACTGCATAAACATGAGCGAGCGTTCCTGGTCCGGGGTCAGCTGTTCGGTAGGGAAGCGCACGATGGCGTTGGAGACAGCGCGGGCCTGTAGGGACAGCGGGCATCAGGGGCCTCTGGATCGCAAGCACAGCATCCAGCTGCGCTCCGCCTCCTCTGCCCCGCGCTCACCAGGGGCACCGGAAAGCCGGCGCGTTTGACCCCCGGCGTCCAGCCGAACGGCAGCGAGAAGCCATCCTCGTACTCTGCCGGCAGCCAGCGCTTAAAGGCGCGGTTAGAGGCCCCCAGCGTGGGGCTGCGTCTGCAGGGGAAGCACAGGGCGCTGGCGCGAAGGGCTGCCACAGGCGGGACCCACCCGCCCCTCCTCCCTGAGCTCCTGCGGGGCCCCGCACCTGTTGTTGCAGTGTCCAGTGATCGTGCGATACTTGTCCTTCTCGGGACACGTCACCCCTACGTCCTGGTAGGCGCAGCCACTTGACTTGGACAACAGATTCAGCTGAGCAGGTGTCAGCACGTCTGCGAGGGCGTACCGGGGTGTGAGAGCCGAGCCTCCCTACCACCTGCCCCAGCTGTGGCAGGTGTCACTAGGAGCAGGAGCTTGGGATGGGAGGAGCTACAGTACCAGTGACATTGAAAGGCCCTGGCCACAGGGGCTGCAGCTTCCTCTTCAGCAGGTCTAGGGCCACGTGCAGATAGTCGGCAGCCCTCACAGCAGTCCGGGTGCCTGCCACTGGCTGCTTGAAATAGGACAAGAGTTCCATGGGGCTGGCAGAGCCACTTCGAAGTCGCTGCTTGATGCTGCTTAGACAGAGAGGACCAGAGAAGGGGTACAGAGATACTCAGCAGAGCCCCAGCCCAGGAGTGGGCAAGCAGGACATGCAGACAGACCCACAAAGCAAAAATTGTTTTTAACCAGAAGGCTATGGACCTGACTGTCCAGACAGAAGCAAAGCCAGGGGAGGAGTGGTTTTGAAGATGTTCTCATACCCAGGTACACAAGACAGACAAACAGAGGTCTAGCTTCACCCATAGATCCCCCCCACCCACCTTCTCCAAAAGACATGGGGCAGCTTTGTCCAGGGATAGCCGGTGCCTTGAACCCTCACCTCTCACGCTGCTCCTTGTAAGCCTTGTCCACTAGCCACTTGGCCTCCTCCATGCTGGTCAGCACCAATGAAGTCTCCACCTCTCCCAGGACAGCTGCCCAGAGCAGGGATCACAAGGTTAGTTATGGCTCCCAAAACCATCATTTGGCTCCAGAACAAAGGAGGCCAGCACTGGGAAGAAAGAGCCCTTGGTCTCAGACCCTCCCTCCAGCATATCCACCTTCTCCTTTCTGCACTGTTACCTGGAGTGGCATTGTCAGAAGGCTGAGGCATGACCAGAAGGGCCAGGAGGCCTGCTAGGGTCAGGAACAGCTTCATCTCTGCAATTAGACCCCAGCCCAGAAAGTACCCTGAGTGTGTGGGTGAAGAGAAGCCCACTCACCCTCTTCCCAAGCCTCGACTCCCACCTTCATAACCAGTGGCCTATGTCGAGGCCTCTGTGAGGAAAGGATCTACAACCCAATCTCCCCCGAGCTATCCCCAAGAGCTCAACTCCACAGTGCACCTGACATTGTCAATTCTCACTGAAGCTGGCCTTTTATGTCATCTAAACTGGGGGCGGGGTGAGGCAAAGGGAGGCCTGTCCCAAGATTAGACTCTCTCCTCCCCCACAGGGTTGGGGGTGCACAGAGAGGGGCCCATGAAATGGGGGAAAAGGCAAGAGAATGAATCAGAGCTATACCCAGCGTTTGAAGGGGAAGACCTCAGAATTTCTCAGCTCCCCATTGTTGTGTCTAAACCTGAGCTGTCCCCAGAGAACATAGACTAACCCCGTAAACTTTTGGTTAAACTGAGTATCCAAGATTTCTTTTTGTTTAATATTTTATTATTTTTATTTTATGTGTATGCATGTATTACCTGCATGTATGTAAGTGCACCTGTGTCATGCAATGCCTCCGGAGGTCAGAAGAGGATGTCAGATCCCCTGGAACTGGGGTTACAGATGGTTGTTAGCCGCCGTGTGGGTGCTGGGAATCAAACCCAGGTCCTCTGCAAGAACAGCCAGTGCTCTTAACCACTGAGTCATCTCTCCAGCCTCCCAAGATTTCTTTTAAAGAAACAAAATTCAGGAATCAACAGTTAAGGAATTGTAGCAAGTAATATGGCCCCAGAGGAGTAGGGAGGGTGGTGTGAAAAATGGTGCCCCTGAGAGAGCCTTGGGGCCACCCCCACTTCAACAGTCACCTGGCCCTTATGGCCAACCCTGATGGGCAGCCCCCAGTTCTCAGTGGGGTCAAGGGGACAGGAAATCTGGCTGGAGACAGTTGGGCTTCACAGGAAGGAGCACCCTGGGGGCTACAGGCTCAGAGCCAAAGTAACTTCCTCTGTCTCTCCCTAGCCCCTTCTTCTTGGCTTCTGGGGCAGGATGGAGGGGGCTGTCCCTGCTCCTGGAACTATGAGGGAGCCGAACTGCTTGTGGTTAATGGTCAGTTGGTGATGACACCCAGGGCCTCTCTGGGACAAGACCAGTCAGTTAGGAAGATTGGGGTTAATGCTTCAGGAGCATTATGAAATAGAAGAGGAAAGTTTCTCCTCTAAGAAAGGCTAGTGGTGGGACTGCCATTCTCAAGCAGGCAAAGGGCCTGTGTGTGAATTAGGACTGTGCCTGTCCATCTCCTGGTTCTCCTTGTGCTGCTTTAGTCTGGCCACACCTGCAACTTTCAGTCACCTTCCTACTGCTCTTGCCTTCTATGTTCAGATCACATCTTGGCTAAGGAGCAAGGGCCAAGACATCCAAATATCTTCCCACTGTGCCCAGGGATCCTGTCACCTTCTGATCCCCTGTTACCTTCTGGCTCAGGACAGAAGAGGCCATTCTCCCTTGCTATATGTAAACTTGGATAAGTGGCCCTTTGAGAATCAGTTTCTAGAATTTTATAAGATTTTGAAAACATTTTTTAAAAGAATTATTTTTTTAATTATTTTTATTTATTTTATGTATACAAGTATATTGCCTATAGGTATGTAAACCTGTGTCATGCAATGCCCATGAAATTTAGAAGAGTGTATTGAATCCCCTGGAACTGGAGTTATAGATAGTTGTTACCTGCCGTATAGGTGCTAGGAACAGAGCCTAGGTCCTCTGCAAGAGCAGCCAGTGCTCTTAACTGCTGAGCCATCTCACCAGCCCCTTAAAAGATTTTTTATTTTATGTGATAAGTGTTTTGTCTACATGTATGTATGTGTATCACTTGTATGCCTCTTGCCTATGGAGACCAGAAGAGGGCATCAGACCCCCTGAAATTGGAGTTACAGATCATTGTGAGCCGCCATGTAAGTGCTGGGAACTGAAACTAGGTCCTCTGCAAAAGCAGCTAATGCTCTTAACTGCTGAGCCACCTCCCCAGGCCCTTTTACAACTTTTTTAAGGTGGGCTCTCATTATGTTGCCCAGGCTAGTCTTCAACTTAAACTCCTCCTGCTCAGCATCTGAAGTGCTAGGATTATGAACATACTAACCACCACACCCAGACTGCTACAATTTTCTTAGAATACTCAACATTTTAGCCAGGTGTGATGGTACACGCCTTTAGTCCCAGCACTTGGGAGGCAGAGACAGACAGATCTCTGTGAGTTTGAGGCCAGCCTGGTCTACATAGTTAATTCCAGGACAGCTAAAGCTACAGGGAGATGCTGTCTCAAAAGTACCAACCCCCCCAAAAAATCCTGAACATTTTAACCTACATATCTTCTTATCAATAAATGTATATTGGCTTCATTTTTATATGTGCATATTTTGTATGAATATTGTAGATAGATGGTAGCTAGATAGATGATAGATAGATACATTGATTGATTGATAGATTGATGATAGATAGATAGATAGATTGATAGATTGATAGATAGATTGATGATAGATAGATTGATAGATAGATAGATTGATAGATAGACAGACAGACAGACAGACAGACAGACAGACAGACAGACAGACAGACAGATAGATAGATAGATAGATAGATAGATAGATAGATAGATAGATAGATAGATGTAGTAACCTTTTCTTGCTAGACACAAGTTGTTTCTGGTTTTCATTGTTATGAATGATATTTGGAAGAACATCATGGAATTAAATCTCTAGCCACATCTTCAGTTATTTTCTTAAGCAAGACGTCTTCAGTTGAGGGTGGCTTTGCATACCTATCATCCCAGCACTGGAGAATCTGAAGAAGGTAAATCCTGGGCTTGAGGCCAGCCTGGGAGACTTTGCAAGACCTGGTCTCAAATCAATTTTTTAAAAATGTCTTAACAGTAAAATTTCTATACATTCAGGCATGTACAGTTTTTGTACTTCTAAATAGTCATTGCTAAATGCCCTCAGGAGGATTGTACTTTATCCTCCCATCAGCCATGCATGACAGCCCTTGGTCTCCATCACCCTTACCAGCCCTGATAATCCGATTTTTAAGTGATTAGAGGGAAGGAATATTCAATGCAAACATTTTCTGTGCTAGTGTGGAACAGTTCAGAATAATCCGTCAAGTTCCCTGACTTCCAAACCAATCCTCTTTGCCTAATGGCCTCTGCACTTATTTCTGACCTTTCATTCAATCACTTATGGAGCCCTTATGTATGCTGGGTGCTGTGCTGTTCTGAGCAGTGGGCACACTCCATGCAGCAAAGCATGGGCCTTGTCCTCAAGGAACTCATGACAGGGAAGCCAAAAAGTGAACAAATGGCACCTCACAAGCCTGTACAAGACCTTTATGGAGTATCAAAGTACTTGGAGCAACTGGGGGCAGAGGAGACCAAGAAAGGCTTCCTTGAAGGGTTGATGCCCTAGGTTCTGTCCTGAAGATCATTTTTGGAGTAACCAAGTAGACACAAATTGGGAAGGACCTTCTGGACCCAGAGAATGACACCCCAAATATCTGACACAGTAAGCTTCATTGAGACGGCTCCAACACAGGGGTGGATAGAAGATGAGGATGAGGAGACAGGCAGAGGCCCAGGGCCTGACACTTCTACTGATCGTCCAAGTTCCTGTCCTAGAAGTCCTAGGCAGCTATGAAGGCTGTGAAGCTGGGAACGCAGGTCTCTGTCTCTGGCAAGACAGGGCAGACACAGAGGTTGCAGGGCCAGAAGACGAGAATACTGTGTGGTGGATTCTTTCTACTCAGGAGGCCGGTTCTGCCTCCCCATAGGCAACAGGGAGGCAGGGAATGCTGAGAAAGAGAAAGGGAATCCCTGCAGCTCTCTATCCATGGGGAGGGGAAAGTTCTCTATCAATAGCATCTAAATCATGACCTATGTCTCAGATTAGGGTTGTGGGCCTGAATGTGCACAGGGACTGGAGATGCCTTGAGACTAGAGTGTTTCTGACCAAGCACCCACGCCCTATCTGCCTTCCTGGTCTGCATCCCTGTTTATCCCCCACCCAGGCCCTACATGTATTTGAGGCTCAAAGGCTTCTAAGAACTCAAGAGTAACCAGGAGAAGATGGCTCCCTGAGGAGAAAAAGCAGGTGAATCCTGAGCTTGAGGTCAGCCTGTAAGATGGAGTAACACCTGATCGCAAACTAATTTAATGTAATTTGTCCTACCAGTCATGCTCTAGCCCTGCATTCCAGGGAAGGTCTCTGGATGGCACTGCTGGAACGGCCACATTCCAGATCATAGTCATCATCAGACAGGACCCCTGCCTGACTCAGTGCACACCCTCTGCCTTCTCTTCTCCCCCCTCAGCTTTCCCAAACATCCCTACCCATAGGGTTTAGCCCAACTTCCTGTGAGATAACTAGTCGGCTACTGTTTGCAAAACAACTTGTGCTTTCTTAATGCTGTTTAGGAAACAGTTCAGTTAGAACTCTCTCTCTCTCTCTCCTCTCTCTCTCTCTCTCTCTCTGTGTGTGTGTGTGTGTGTGTGTGTGTGTGTGTGTGTGTGTGTAAAGAAGAAAGGTTCTGGAAACTGGGGCCCAGGCAGGGATGGTGAAGATGCACCAATTGCATCCAACTTCTAGATAGATCTTGCCTTAACTTTCTTCAAAATCTTTAAAAAATTAAGTTTTTAAAATTACACATGAGGGGCCAGGGAGAGTGATTGCCTAATATGCATAAGGCTGTGGGTTCAATCTCTACCACTAAATAAATTGGACATGGCAGTACACTTCTATAATCCCAGCACTCAGAAGGCAAAGACAGGAAGTTCAAGATCATAGATCATCCTTAACTACATAGCAGGTTTGAGGCCAGCCTGGGACTGGGACTGACCCTGTGTCAAACAAACAAACGAATATATATATATATATCCTTAAACTAGGTTATGGCAACATTCCCAATTTCTATCATTTTTCCCTCTCTTTAAGTATAAACACTGTTGTCA